CGGTATATAAGTCTACTGCTATTGCTATTGCTATTCTGGAAAGTCCAGGAAGTTCTGAATACTGACAATGACTTGGTTAGACATTGCAATGCTTCAAATAACCGCAGCAATGCTTTTCCTCAGCCCAATTTTTCTCTTGTCTTTGTGCTTTGCTTTTCATCAGCAGCCAAAGAAGCCACCTCAAAAAAGAGAGTGAAAATCTGGGTGCGTCTTATACACTGAATACAGCATTTTTGGCCTCCCAAAACCCCACCCCCTTTGCAAAAATGGCTGTGCGTAGCCTTTAGGAGGCTTCCAGAGTGCTCCTGGGGGCTGCGGAGGGCAAAAATGAGCAAAGCAATGGGCTGTGTTTTGCTCATTTTTACCCCTTCAGCCCCCCAGGAACACTCTGGAAGCCTCCTAAAGGCTTTACATGCCCTTTTTTTGTCAAAAAATCAGGCCCATTTTTGCAAAAAGTGAGATCTGCAGAGTGCAACCCCCCCATTTTTAGATTTGCCTCTTCAAAATCTTTGTGCATCTTATACTCCCCAAAATACGGTATATATCTAGGTTTCTAATATCAAAAGAGCAGCACGGTGCCAGACTTTTTCATGCTTCAAAAACATCAAACGTAGTGTTAAACTGTGACTTCAACCAGTGAGATTTTGGTCGTAGCACAAATGAGGACACCCCTGAAGAAGGTTCCCGTGGAATTAATTAGTCAGCTGAGGAGGTCTCTCACATCTATTCACACTGCACATTCGCTGTGTGTGCAGATAAGTAAATTGCTCACCAAAAGGAGAAGAAATCTCAAAGTGTCATTCCGTGAGAGGCAGTGCCCACAAAGCAGGAGCTGGTGCGATCCAGGGGTTGACAGCAAATACGTTTAAAATTAAATGTGTTCTTATAATGTTCTGATGATCAGTCAAACGGTCGTCCAGATGTTTGAACTGTTTTTGGCATGTTGGTCCATCTATTGAGTCCCTCCCCAAGGACCTGGGTTAGGCTGATGTGGTTGCTTGATGATCTTCAAGGGATCATTGCAAGATGATCTTTTGAATGAAGTTGCCTTTTGCAATTGACTGAGGGTGAATTTGTCAATGCCGATGGTATTCAAGTGGTGCTCCAGATCAGAGGTGGTAATCAGCCAGTTTGCACAGGTTCGCGAACAATTTAGCTCCATTTTGTTCTGGTGGTCACTGTCTGTTGAAGGATGGTGGCTCCAAGTACCCTTTAAGGACCATAAAAATAAGGGCCAACCAAGAATTCAAGAGAGAATGGGGAGATGTGATAGTAATTGATAATGTTAGATCTGAGTTGCAGATAGGATGATGATGATGATGATGATGATGATGATGATGATGATGATGATGATGATGATGATGATGATGATGATGCATGGCCAATTTCTGGAAAAAATAAAAGATAAAGTGGACAGTGAACAAACTTGGTTATGGTTAACAACTGGTACAAAGAAAGAGACAGAGTCACTAATCCTGGCTGCGCAAGAACAAGCTATCTGCACAAATGCCATTAAG